AAATAATTCTTATATTAAGAAAGTCTAGATTTGCACCATGTCATGTAAAATGGGAACACTGTAAGACGAAACAATTATTTTAGGTTTACAGTTGAAACGGCTTCGAGCGCAAAGGGTTAAGAAAACAACAACGTTTTCCCATCAATTTTACCGATGGAAAAGGAAGAACGTGGATGTTAAAAGAGGGAAGGCGGATGACGAAAGCGAAGCAATTTATCCGATATTTGTCCGACATCGCGTATTTAGTTTATTTGATTAGTATTTATATTGTTCTGCGAGAGGAACAGCGAGATGTTCGTCGAGTTTTTATCGAGTGCCACAAGATGCTTGTCGGTGTGGATGAATCAAAATGAAGCTCTCTTTGTTTCTCTACAGGAGCAAATTGTGGGCGAGTATTATAACGTTGCGGGAACTGCTCTGCTCTGCTCTGCTCTGCTCCGCTCCGCTCTGCTCCGCTGGCTGACGCAAGCCAGATTAGGGAGTCAGATTCCTGTAGCGCGCCCGTGGCGCAGCTACCGCGACTCCCATTGCCAAGGTTCGCCNGGCGGATGACGAAAGCGAAGCAATTTATCCGATATTTGTCCGACATCGCGTATTTAGTTTATTTGATTAGTATTTATATTGTTCTGCGAGAGGAACAGCGAGATGTTCGTCGAGTTTTTACCGAGTGCCACAAGATGCTTGTCGGTGTGGACGAATCTAAATGAAGCTATCTTTGTTTCTCTACAGGAGAAAATTCTGGACGAATATTATAACGTTGCGGGAACTACTCTGCTCTGCTCTGCTCTGCTCTGCTCCGCTCTGCTCCGCTCTGCTCCGCTGACTCCTGCGAGCCAGATTAGGGTGTCAGAGTCCTGTAGCGCGCCCGTGGCGCAGCTACCGCGACTCCCATTGCCAAGGTTCGCCGGCTGCTACACGGAGTGGCCGAGCTTCTCGGATCAGTTTGAGTCGCTGGTCGTGAAGAACTTGACTCTTCACGACGTCCAGCGACTACAGTACCTCACTACTCCGTGACAGCGGCGAACTTTGGCATCGCGTGGGCGGCCTTGGTCAAGAGGTATGACCGGAAGCGGCTAGTCGTCAGTGCGCTCCTGTCGAGCTTCCTGGCCCTTGCGCCGCTCACCCGCGATCGCGACGGCAGCGTTCTCGCCTTGCTGCGTCGTCGCACTAAGGAGGCGTAGGCCCAGCTGCGAAATTTGAGGCGGCCGGTGGACCACTGGGACGACCTGCTGGTCCACCTAACGGTGGAAAAACTTGATCCAAAGTCGATCCACGAAATCCGCGCCACCGTTGATCCACCCACGTACACCAGTCTCGACGGGTTCCTGGAGCATCGGGCCGGGTCCTTCGCGGAGCTCAGGATGGCTCCGGAGCCGTCGGCTACCTCCGCGGAGCGTAGGCCGGGCCGACCTCCACCACCGGTACGCTCCCACGCGATGGCGACGACGACGGCGAGCCGTTGCCGAAAGTACGGCGACAACCACCCGCTGTTCCGGTGCCCTGCGTTCAGGGGCATAGCGCTCAACCTGCGCCGGGATTTCGTTAGGGCGCGCGGTTGCTGCTTCAACTGCCT